AATTTAAAAAAATCAAGATATTAATAGGTTCACAAAATAATGGTTATATGCAGCCCTATCTGTGAAATCTGATATTGGACGTTCTGAAGCTTCCTGTCTTCTTCTCCTCACTGTCTCCATGTCTGCAGGCTCTGGACGACTGAGGCACCATGAAGAGGTTCAAGCGACACGGCCACGAATCGCAGCGGGATCGCCTCAAGCATGAGCTCTTCCAGTTCACCAAGGTAAGCCCAGTCCTTCCCAGGCAGGTCAGGAGGAGTTTCATCATTTTCTAAGGTGTTTGCTGATGGAAAAGGGTCGAAATGATTATTGGATATATGGGATAAATGGAGACGATGGGAAATGATTCATTTCCATGATTGTGATCAGTTTGTTTGAATGTTTGCGAGGATCTTCATGCATCACTGAGCTCCGTTCATCTGCAGCAAAGGAAAACCTTCCAACAGGATTTCATCTTTGACAGAACTGGCAATAAAAACAGGATAGGCGTTTGGATTTATAGATCCTAATTTTCCACATTATTAACGTAGATTAACTCTTTCAGACTCCTATGTGTACATTTCTGAGCCCATATTTACTGTTTATAAGAAAATGTTCTGAAACTGTTGCAGAAATAAATCCCAGGCTCCTAGATCCAGAATATAACCCAGAATATTTTAGTCAGGGTTGTAAAACAGGAAGTTGGGCTAAAATTCCAACGATAACAAAAAATAAAAAGGTTTGGATAAGAAATCAAAAAGCTCCTGCAGTTATATTTCACACTGCTGGACTGATTTCTAAAAATTACTCAGGGAAATGAGAGGCCTGAACCCAGAAGCAGGATTAATGCTTCATGGTTCAGGCTGTAATGTTTCTGTGAAATGGATCATTGATCCTGTAGGGATCAGGCTGAAACAAAAGTTTCATTTCAGTAGAAAAGACATGGAGGTATTTCTGTATATTCAGGGCTGAACTTTAAAACAGCAGAGCCAATTTTTACCGTTTGTCCCTCTGAGTTCTGCCACAGCGCAGAAATCAGGAGGATTTCCCTCAGTCTGATCACTTCCTGTATTAAGATGATGCAATCATCAGCTTCCAGCTTTATTGGAGCCTAAATATTATAGAATAAAGAAGTCCATCTGAGGCTGCTGTCACACCTTGCCGATTTATCCAGTGTCTGCCTGACGTCCCAGAATCTCCTAAAACGCTGGCATACGCTTAACTTTCTATATGTTTCTAATCTGGGCGTATACATAGAGTATTCATAACGAGTCCAGAACTTCTGTCCAATGACAGCCTAACTTCTGCATAACGCACGGCAGCGTAATGCCCAGGAAATGGTGCACAGGCATCATTTCCTGGGCATTACGAAGCATCAGTTAAAGCTGCTCGCCTCAGGCGCATCACTACTTTTATGCAGACCGGAGGCGCCCGGCCTGCATAATAAGATGTCTTTGATTACAGTATTAACCTAGCTGCTGTTTACCGCCCGCCCCAAAAAAAGAATATATTAAAAGAAAAAGAAGGTTTTTAGTGGCAGCATATTGAGCGTCATGTCTGATAGGAAGTTTGTTGGTGGTGGGCATGAACGCAGGGAGGATCCATCACTCTCACCTTCTTGCTCACGGATGAACTGATGGTTTCCTCCTGTGAACCCCCTTTATACCACAACGCTGCCAATACGCCATTAAACAGTAGCTGGAAGTTAGAAACACGTTCAGCTCGTCTGGAACACGTCAGAAACGTTGATATGCGTTGGAGAGAAGTTCTTGATAAGTTAGGCAGAAGTTATGAACAAGTTACTCAGAGGTTTAGGATAAAGGTTTTAATCTGTTACTGTGTAAATGGGTTTGGCTGTAATTTAAGGACAGATTCTAATATATCTGCAGTGTGGGGACTATAAATCTGATAGGATTTTAATTTTTGAATTGATGTTTTGCCCAATTTGCTTAACTAAATGTTTTTTGTTGTTGAATATAAGAGATTTTGCAGATATATTTTTTATAAATATATTGTTTAGATTTACTTTCTACCCTTTACAATAATAAAAAAAAGCAGACATAGAAAAAGAAAGTTTTAAAAGTTCGGTATTCATTCTTTTCCTTCTTTGTGTGACAACTGTCACGTTTGCTAAGCCTCGAAAGGCTGGATCTGTTTCAATCCTGGACCCGGTCCAGGTAGACCGCGTCCTTGGAAGACGCAGCCCATAAATCTGAATTCAGTCAATACCTGCTGCCTCTACCTGCTCATCCAGGAGGAGAGAATCCTACAATCTGTTTAAGATTAAAGTTCTCTTCAGTGCCAGTTGGATTTCTGACCTGAAGCAAATATTTAAACGATGATGTAACGTCAGGAATGAGAAAGGATTTAGTTGTAAACACCTGTTTGCCTTCGAAGGATGTTTCCTGATGCTTTAGATCTTAGTCATAAATCTAAAATGCATAGGGACGCATTTATTCATTTATTTTGGTTTTGCAATTATATAAAAATTTTCTGAGAAGAAATTCACCTGCTGATACCAGAGATCACTGGTTAACAGTTCTCACTAACCTCCCCCATTCTGTCTTTTTAATCATGCTCCAGACACTCTATTTAACACAGATTCTAAACATTTGCTTGTAATCCTCCTATTTCTGTCCAATAAATGTGTAATATGGAGATGGGCTGCATCACAGGCCCCTACTGTTGATATGTGGATATCACTCATTCCTGCTATTGCCTCAGTCAAAAAATTGACCCCGATCTTCATCAAAACCGGATAAATTCTGGAGGATCTTGCACCTGCTGAGACTAGATTGTTTTTTCTCTTCTCTGTCCTCTCCTTTTTTACATTCAGTAGCTCACCGATTGGGCTGACTGACAGTTTCTACTACTTTAAACAATGCCTGGGAATATCTGTCTGTATTTTGTGTATTTAGGCTGTATATATGTTTTTATGTGGTCACTGTAGTGCTCCTTGTTGATTTGGGAAGTGTTGGTTTTGTTTACTTTTGTTGATGTTTACATAAAGATGTGAAAATCAATAAAAAAGAAATCAGGTGTAATATAGACTGTAGGGCAGTCTGCTCTGTGCCTCGTTTGATTATCTGTGCTGCTCTTCCTCATCTTTACTGTCCTTGTCTGTTTGCTGTCCTGTGCAGACGGTGGAGCATGGATTCCCCCACCAGCCCAGCGCTCTGGGCTACAGCCCTTCTCTTCAGCTCATGGCCATTGGGACTCGCTCTGGAGCCATCAAACTGTATCCTCTCATTGAAGCCTGAGACTAAAGGCTGCCGTTCACAGCCAGCCTGTAGGAGAGTTGGCCCCATGGTCGCCTTTATTAAAGGGGCCGTAGATGAGAGCAGAGAAGCTGAGAAAAGACGGGCTGGTGTACGGAGGGAAGGGTGTGCCATTATTGTCACAACAAAGAAAACTGTTTTGAAATGGAAAAAAAAAAGCAGGAAAGGTTCTGAGATAAAATGCTAATTCTGTTTTTCAGATTTAGGATTTGCTTTTTCTAAAATAGTGTTTCACAATTTACGTTCACTTTATTTCCATCCTATGACGACAGCTAGCTCCTGACCAATCGTGTTGTTGCTAATGTTCAGCGGACCAATAGAAATGCGTTTTTCCTCCTCACTGAAAACCTTTGCCTTCAGTAGTGAAGAGAAGGAGCTGTGGAAAATGCAGTTTAAATTGAATGCAATTAATAAATCTGTATCTGGAAAAGAAAAAGTAAAATTAGAGAATATGAAATTATAAAAAAAATATATAATTAGAAAGATATTAAGAAATTTGAAAAAAAAAAAATCAGAGAAGACGGTTAAGTTGATCTAAAAACACTCATAGAATAAGAATAATTTCAAAACTTTATTTCTGGGGAAACATGTTTGCTTGTAACAACATTGGAACAAAATTAACTCCATACAGGTGAATATTAGCCAATCCCAGGGGACGACAAGCTGCTGTTGATAAACAAGGCTGCTGGTAAAGATCTGCCTTTATTTATTTATTAAGTGGCAAATAACAAAAGATGTTAAAAATGTAGAGATTTCTATTTTTCAT